TACCAGTAAACACAAAGGACTCATTAAAATATTGTTTATAATTTGGCGACTAAGGTCAAGTCCTCTGCTTAATACTTCTGACATCCACCGTCTCGGGTTGTGCCTCAAACTTTGACTTTTTAACCTGTGAAGAAGCGGCCTGAGGGACCTTTGCTAATGGCTGTCTTATTAAGAATCTATCAGTAAACATGTTGCCTTTGTTTCTGTTCATGCATATCTCTTTTTGGCTGCATCCCTTTGCTTTTATCTCTCAAAATTTCATTTTTTCACTAAATCTCATAGGATCAATTTGTAACTGTCCAGGAAAGTTGAAACGTGTCATTTAAACTGAAGATATTAGCAATAGCTTTGCACACACTTGCTAATGTCAGAATGTCCCCTAAATGGGGGTGATCAATATAGCTGCCAGCATAATAATTAATACCTTTGCATAACTAACTCACTAATTTCCTCATTAGCTTTACAATGTCAAATTTGAAACACATTTTAATTTGTCACAACTGTCAAATTTATATGTGGCAAAAGTTTAAAACTCTCTTTATTAAACTCTCAGAATTGACCCAATCAATTGCATTTTTCAACATGTTTTTGTTTCAGATAAATTCTATTGTTAGTAAATTCATTAAACATTTTCATAAGAAGTAGCTGCAGGCTGTGACTTGCAGGCTGCAAGTCAATTTAACCACCTAGATGGTTAAATGCTGAAGTAATTCAGTAATCCATCACTTCAAGGCTTTACTTTATTAAGAAAGTTGCATCTTTTTATTTTAACAGTTTGGTTTTTAGATTGGGGTTGGAAATGATCTTCTACTCCAGATTGAGAAACTTAAGTATTGCAAGGTGCTCTGCAAATTGACTAGATGCTCCGTCATTCATAAATATTTTAGGAATTAGGTATTTGCCTTAGATTCTGAGTAGAATCGCTTCTCTCCCTCTTCTAAAGGAGCCAGTTGAGGTGGTGTGGTCATCTGGTAAAGATGTGTTCTGAATAAGTGCTTAGGTATTCTGCATGTCTTAATGGGAAGAGACCTGAGGGCAAGCCAGCTACTTTGTGGAGAGATTGTATCTCCTTGGTGAATAGGGTAGGGAATGCCTTGTTGACCCCAGATGAGCTACAGATGATAGCGGTGGAGTAGGTGACTGGATGATTGATCAGTTTTCCAGTTTATCTTCTATGATTATTTCCACATTCATGACCAACACCCCAATATAGTTTAACTTTTGAAGCAGCTATAAAAATCAGGTATATGTATACTAGCCAAGGGAACTATCTGCATTGGGTTTTGGATAATATTAATAAGCCAATCAATGCCAAGGAAAATAAATGATGCACCTGGAATGACTACTTTCCAAATGCCAGCCAATCGAGTGAACTCGGTTGCATTGCATCAGCTTATGTTAGCTTCAAAATCTTGGTGCAAAGTGAATTGAATGGATTGATGAGACATTTAAATGTTTGTGACCGAGGAATTACATGATTCAAAATTGTCTGGTTGTTAGATCACACAATTATATCAGTGCACATGCAACCAGAATGCTGTATATTCCTAGGAGATATTTTGCTCTCTCTCCAAATTAGCGTAGCTTGCCCAGCTGCTCAGACTGTTTGGTCCAAAAGTGCCTAAAGAAGTATTACTATTTTCTCTCACCAATTTCACACTTTCTTTTTCAGTTAGGCAAAATGAGGACACTTCCTAAGATAGCACTTGTAACACAACAGAATAGGCCTAATTATGGTGTTAGTGTAGGGGTGCTGGTTGGGCATTCTCTCTGAGAATAAGAAATAATAAATGGGTAGGAGTTGGAAATCAAGCCAAAGGAAAGAGCATTGTTATTTACCACAGACATACTTTTGCACTTACGCCCTGTAATATATGAGTGTCTGTGGCTCTTCCTTTGCTTCCTCCTCTCTCTTCCACCCTTTCACCACCAGTCCAGGTGTCAGTCTTTTACAGAGCTGGCTCTAAAGCTCTAAATCCCTGTCTAACTTTTTGGTTTTGCTTCCTGCACTGACTGAAATGAATCCTTCCTTTCTGGCATTGAACTCGTTTAAATCCTTCCTCTTAACAACATCTTTGTTCAGGGATATTATGTGTTATAACACGGATATTTCCGTGTTATATTGCTTTATTTTCTGATACATTCTAACAGGAAATGGTGGGAAGGATTTCAGCACATAATCAAATTAACACAAGCATGTTGTGTTTTTGGTGACTTTATATTTCAGATTAGAGGATATTGTTCTAAATGTTTGAGTGTTTTAGAGACAGTCATTTTTTTTTTTTTTTTTTTTTTTGCTAGTGAAATTCATAGGCCTTCTGTCTGAAACAAATGCGGAACAAAAGTTAAATCCTTGAAGTGTTTAACATCGGAGTCAAGTTTCATTTAGTCAAACTTTTCTTCTATTACTTGTCACTTGTTCTGATTGGTAATAGAGAAACTAAATCGACTCGCCTTCACCAAAAGTCATAAGAAGACACAAACTGAGACTGACTATTTAATTAAACTGGTGTGAACAATGTAAGGTGTATCATCTTAGCAGCAGCTAAGCCTTATAGGAGTTTGAGGCCGAAATCTGTGCTTCTGCTTTTGAAGTTGCAAAACCATTTGCCAAATAGCAGCAATTCAAATAGTTCATGGAGAGCTTGTAAAGAGTCTCTGACAATGTTTGGAACCTGTTTCTGAAATAACTCTGAAACATCTTTGAAAGAGAGTATTTACACTACAGTGCCATTCTCAACTCCCCTCGGTCTTCAAGGCCCTCCTGTTTGTCATATGGCAGATAAAATGAAGAAAACAGATATTTATCACATGTCTGAGAACTGCAGACAGTATAAGCAACAATAAATATTATAAGGCCTCAAATGTTTTTCTTTTTGATGAGGTTTCTTAATTCTGAAAATACATATCTACTGTAAAGCCGTATTTCAGCAGATGACAAAAAGACTGAATAGATCAAAGGAAAGTTGCTCTGTTTTATCTATTTGAATTTCCAGCTTTTGTGTGACAGCTTTTGGAAATATTGACATCTTTTTTATCTAAAGGATCTTTTTTTCTGTGTAATACAGACAAAGACTGCTGTGTTAGTAATCACTAATACAAGATGTATAAGACAGTTTCAAATGTCAGCTTTGTAATTGAGTTCCTTTTAAATTGACCAAATCAGATATTCACACTGATAATATCAATGGCAACTTAAGACAAGAAGGCTAGAAAAATGTGCTTTAGCATCATGCGTTAAAGTTCCTAAAGTAAAGCGAGTAAAGTCAGAATGGAAAGGTCAAAGCTTAAAAAAAATACACAAATTAGGGCATCAGAAGTTTTAAATGTCACTGTGTGTAAGCAAACTTGAAACTATGTTTAAATTAGATTTATCAAAGGAAGGATTTTTTTTTTCTTAAAACTTAACTGGAAATGTTGCATAGAAAGGGAAATTGGGGAAGCTGAGGATTTTTCCAATTGAGTCATTTCCAGTGGAATTGTGGAAATTTGTTTGGAGCTAACCTGAAATTAGGTTAGTTTAAGCACATTTGATTATAATTATATTAAATATAATTATAACAAAATTCTATATTATATTATATATAAGTATGCACTCAAATATATAATTAATAGTATGCTAGTTTATGTAGTCCATGGACTCAGACATGTATCCTCCATAAGCCTGGGTTCTAAATTGTCTATGTAACTCAGGAAGGCACAGTGCATGTAGGGACATGGCCTCAATAAACCTTCAGTAAACAGTGCATGACGTCTGCATAATTGAGGAATAGCATATATTTACTAAAGTGTACCTGCTTGACGTCTGATATGCTAAATTATATTTCTCCGAATATATCTAAAACCCTATAAAGGACCAAAGTTCAAATTCCCATTCACTTCCATGGAAAACTTCAGATTTTCAGAATTCTCAGAACATTTTCAACCCTATTTTTAATTAACTAAATAATATCAAGGAAATCACAGCAAAATTAAGCATTTTCTGATTGCTACGTTAAACCTTCCCAGTAAGCGGTCAATGTCCTTTTCCTCCATAAAACCAACATCAAACACCATAAGCTTTAAATTTTATCCTTTCAACTGCAGCTTCCTGATTGTGTCTCCTGTGTCGTTGCTTCCTTCTACCCACCAAATATATATTTAATCACTGCTCAGACATTTAAAACAAACCAGGAAGGAGGCTCACATTCCAACACTGCTGAGACTTGCCAGAAGAGATACCCCACTAAGTTCCTGTCAACGTTGAATAAAACGACTGCTGAAGAATGCCCCTGCCAGCCCTCCGATCACTCACTCTTATAACCTGCTCCACTCTGACAAAATGTTAAAACATGCTGTGACCTGAAAGGAATATTCTCCAATATCTGTAGGGTAAGAAATTATGCGCCAACAGCTGCAAAAGCTCTAAAAAGTTCAAATATATACAGTAGATAAACCATGGGAGCAAATGGGTCAACTATGTATCAGATTCATGCTGACGAGACGTTTTTGTATGGACACCCGTTGCTCCTGTCCTGCGATCCCTGCTCTAGGAAGTTTCCCAGAGATGTGGAAATGGTTGGTTGAAATAAAGTTGTTTCCTTATTCTGTTGGCCTTCGACTTTCTCTGTTTGCCGTATGAGCGTTTGTAAATGAACTGCTGTTGGCTCATTAGGGCCTGGTCTGCTTTATCACCCAGTAAACTATTGAGACAAACAACAGAGAGGGCCGTTATTTTTCATCTGCTGAAACTAAGCACCTCGGTCCTCTGGGGTTTAATTATACTGCGTTGAAGTGAATTAGAATTAATGAAACACTTTGTAATACTTTAGGACAGAAGCTGCAGATCTAATTGTCCTACTTTTACCTCTGCAGGTTCAACATGTGTGAGCACTATACTGGTATATCAAAGTTTGATATAACTTTAATTTCAATCATTGCCTGATGTCTTTTGGGGTTTAATTACCATTTTTAAAAATACTAATTTTTTTGCCTTTGCTTTATTTTTTTCACTTTGTCAGCTGAAGATGGATTCATGTGCAAGACTCCTGCCATAGCCGACATTGTGATTCTGGTGGATGGCTCTTGGAGTATCGGTCGGATTAACTTCAGGCTGGTTCGAGCCTTCCTAGAAAACCTTGTCAATGCCTTTTCTGTGGAATTTGACAAAACAAGAATAGGTGAGTTTTGTTTGGGATTTTTCCTCTTTCAATTGCTTGAACGACGTCTTATCTCTTATTGTCCAATGCAGGACTTGCTCAGTACAGTGGAGACCCCAGGATTGAGTGGCATCTGAATGCTCACACTACCAAAGAGGCTGTGATAGAGGCTGTGAAAAACCTGCCCTATAAAGGAGGAAACACACTGACAGGTACGCTGCCAAGCAAATTCTCACCCTGCTTTGCGGTTATTATAGTCTTCCAAACACAGATGAGCAAATAGATGACATTGAGAGGTGGAACTGGAATAAAGCCAGTTTTCTACCTCGGTTTATTAAATTCCCTCTGGTGCAGTTAATTTCAGGTTGGTATTTATAGATTCAATAACAACCTTTGCTGATCGGATGAGACTGTGAATCAGAAGGTCAGGACAACAAAAAATGACTTCCAATGTTGATTTGATATTCTGCAGCAGGAAAATGAAAAAGTACATTGAAGCATAAAAGAAGTGCAGCGTACATTAGAAGGACTACAATTGCATTTTTACTTTATGGAAATTGCCTTTATTGCATAGTATGTATTGGATGAGACATTATGCGGTTAAACTGTATTAATATATCGATCAATCCAAGATTGGATCAGAGATGTCAGTGTGGGCTACCTCTGAACTCAGCTGCTCATTATGTGATCAAACTCAGAAGAAAAAAAAAAAAAAAAAAACTTGTCAAACTAATAGCGACACTTCAGACCAGTTAAGTTACAATCTCTGACAGTGGCTCCTGCCTTGGTTCTGACAAGTTTTAGCTTCTCTTAGGAAGGGAAATTCAGGCTACAATCAAACCATCAAGCCGGTACATAATGCATCTTTAAAATAATTGGTGGGTACAAGGTTTTTATTTTACATTAGATGTCCTCTTGTCAAGCAGATAGTGCAGTGTTTTTTCAATGCTAGTACAACTGCATGAAAACAGTACCACATGACACTACAATATTCTGATTACATTTTGCAGTGTTGATTGTGAATAACCCACATTTTGCTTTCTATTAATTCCCTCCACTATCTCTGACTTTTAGTAGAGTGATCGGTGAAATCTCTGTGGACATAAAGGGCAATGAAAGTCTGCCCAAAGGCCAAATATATTATTGTGTAAAGCATGGAACCTGTTATTGTGATAACTGTGCTTCAATTTCATGTGCACATGTAAAAAAAAATATTTTCTAATATGGTAAGACACGAGTTTTATGTTATTTCATTGTAAAAGATACAATGAAATAACAAACATTTCAGTTTGTTTCCTCACAAAAACAAACTGAAAATAAGCAGACTTGATGTTTAGTAACATTCACACAAAAATAATTTATATTCATTAGTATATGTGAAATCGTTTTTTTTTTTTGTTTTGTTTTTTTTTTGCTGGAGTGTTACTATCATTCTTTTAAATTTACTGGCTACTTTGAAACTAAGAAAATAGACATTTGTAATTCTGAAACTGTTTTTCATTTCTCTTTCCAATTTTCCAACTTGTCTAAGTCTGCTTGCCTAATTAGATATAATATTTATTACATGTCTTCATGTTTTTGAGGCATTTTACAAATTTACATCTATTTTTCTTTTATTTATTCATGTTTTTTGTGGGAGTAATGTAGCAAGTTTCTAACCTTTGCTTGTTTTTATTTATTTTTAATATTGCCTTTGATACTTATCTGTTGTTTTGTGCGGAGCTCTTGAGCTACCTTTCTGCAGCCCTGTTCTTTACATTTTTAAACTTGCTATGCAGTGTCATTTCCTGATGTTATGACTGAAGAGAACCTCTCTTAGCTCTTCACTTGAGACTTATGATGGCCTTCTCTCCCTTTATGTTAAACACTTTTTTTATTCTCTAGCTATCTGACAGTAGAAACTAACAATGACTTGGCTTGTATTCAACTATTAGTCTTTTGCTTTCCAAGACTCGTACGCCTGAATGTATTTAGATAGATAATTTTAATATGTTATTACTTGCAACTTCTACTTTGTTTATCTTTTTTTTTTATTTACTGACATTGTACTGTTCTCAACAATCCAGGTCTGGCTCTCACCTTTATACTGGAAAACAGCTTCAAAGTAGAATCTGGGTCCCGGCCTGGTGTGCCAAAAATAGGAATCCTCATCACTGATGGGAAATCCCAAGACGATGTGATTCCTCCTGCCCAAAGCCTGAAGGATGCTGGGATAGAACTGTTTGCTATTGGTATGTCCCCTCTGTATTAACTCATGTCTTTTCTTTGTCATATCTAGTAAACATGTTTAGTTTTCTGTATAGTTTCTGAGTGCCCTGAGCAGTGGAATAACCGTTCGCCCAATAAAAGGATTGGAACACCTGCCACTGGAAACACTTCAGCAACAGTGCAGACAGAGTGTCTGCATAGTGTAGCCTGAGAATATTTGTTGGGTTACTGTTTTATATATATGCAAAGCATTCTGCAACATATGCATTGACTCTACGCAACTGAACCTTTTGTCACCAGTCGTATTCAATACATTGGAATATTTAAAACAAATTTTTATTAACTACATTTGTTAAGTTAAACAGTTTATGTAGATTAATTACAGACTTATGTTTTCAAGCCTCTCCTTTTAAAAAATATATTTAATTAAAAGCTTAATATTGGAGGTTAGATCTTACATCACGCCAATGACAAGAAAAAATAAATAAATAACACATACATGTTGGCTTAATGAAAAGTATGTTTATCGCCTGGGGACAGGTTGTTATTTTTAAAAGGTACCGTTATTCTGACAAATGAGCACCATCAGAATGTGGATGCTGATTTATCTAGTATGACTACATATAGTGTACATGAGTATCCTACCTGGGATACAAAACATCAAATATTATTTTAAAGCCACCTTGTTTGAACATTAAAATGCAAGGTAGATAAGCAATTCGTGCAACAGGGTCACTTTTTTTTTTTCTTAAATTACAAGTTTTGAAATTCAGACTTTCACCTGTTGTAGAAATTAGACAAAATTTGTTGCATGTTTTGCAAACATTTCTGATAATTTTTTTATCCAGTGTGTAAAATGAAATCCTCTCTCTTTCCCTCTCCTTGTTGCATCATCAGAAACCTCTCCTCAGCACCTTTCATGTTTTTTTTTTTTGCCTCACAGTCTAAATTTTCCTCTCTCTATTTCTGCCTCTCCTCTCCTTTCAGGTGTGAAAAACGCAGATGAAAACGAGCTGAAGGCCATTGCGTCTCCTCCCGAGGAGACTCACGTCTACAACGTGGCAGACTTCAGTGTGATGAGTGACATCGTGGAAGGTCTCACCAAGACAGTCTGTGACCGTGTGGAACAGCTTGACAAAAAAATAAAAGGTTCAAGTCGGTTAATAAATCCTAATGCACATTGGTTACTTTTTTTTTTTTTTTTACATTTCTGTTAATATCATTTATAGAAATTGAACACTGCCATGTGTCACTTCTAATTTGGTCTTTATGCTTTGCAGGAGGAGGAGGAGAGCCAGCTCCACCCGTCACCTCCATTGCACCCCCTCGTAATCTGGTGACATCAGAGATTACAGCTCGTAGTTTTCGGGTTACATGGACGCACGCGCCGGGCCAAGTGGAGAAATATCGAGTGGTGTACTATCCAGCCAGTGGAGGACAACCAGAAGAAAAAGTATCTGGTTTCTACTGTATTTTTATTAAAATTTTGTATGTGTATATATATATATTTTATATATTCACGAAATTGCAGCTATTTTTATGACATTTCTTACACTGAGTTACATCAGGGTTGTCCTGGTTGGTCCAAAATCCTAAATAGCTTTTTAATTATTCCATAATCATGTCCTGAACTCGGGTATAATTTATGTTTATATTAATCCATCTGAATAATCAGAGGGTGTCATCATGCAACTGATTAAATTTCTGTCTTAATTTTAACTCTTAATCTGTGATCCAAGGCCAGAAACATTATAATCCACAAAGGCAAGAAAAAGAAAATCACTTGAAATGTTATACCACCCTGAACAAGTACACTCAGTTTGATTCCAAACTCTGCAAGTGATATCTCCTTCACACCAGATTAGGACTACCTCTCAGTGTCCACGAACTCCAGGGCTGTCCAAATGCTTCAACAAAATATTTATTTCAAGTGACAAAAACAGTCATCACTCTACTGCACTTTGCAATAACTATTTGTGAAATTTAAACTATATTGCCATAAACAATAGGTCACTTGCCTTGACACACATATACAGACAAACTAATATCACATAGCAGTTATGAGGTCAGTCACTGATGTTGGAGAAAATGGCATCGTGGCACTCTGCCTGAATTCATCCCAAAGGTGTTTTTATAATGTTGAGGTCAAGGGTCTCTGCAGACCATTCTGGCTCTTCTACACCAAAATCACTCATCCATGTCGTTATGAACTTTTAATGAGGTTTCCATGTCCAAACAGTTTGGACATGGAAAATAAAACTGTGAAAAATGTATTTGCATGCTCAAACATTACACTTTTAAAAAGCAGTTTGCTTCACACTTTACGTTTTACTCAATGCAGTCAAGTGACGTTCTGTGAAATGACTTTTCTTTGATGGAGTAAGAAAAAATTTGAGTCTAAATTTTTTGCAAAATCAAACTTTCCTCAGTCTTGTGCGGTCTTCTCCCCATCTGGCACTTTTATTGGACACAAAGTCAAGTGCATAACAATGCCTCCACACAGGAGGTTGCTGTATCATGACACTTTTTTTGGGCATTTATTTAAATATAAATTGTGGAACCTTCTGCACAAATAAGAACTTTACCATAACTCACTTGGAATGCTATCAGCTATCAGCACTCCAAGTGATAGGGTTGTTGTTTTGGTCTGAGACTACTACCTCATGGTCTGTGCTGTTTCAAATTCTCTGATGACAAATTTATGTTGGAGCACCTGGGTCGCATTTCATGAATAACCTGTCACTGCTACTCAATGCCTCACCCAGGACCATGATATATTGCCACCATGATGATAAACCACCACAACCTCCCTACTGAAGTTTTATGAATTTTTGAAACGGTTGGGTAATTCTAGCAATCGATCATGCATGATGGGAAGCATCTCAGATTGTTTCTAAAGACTTCTCCAAGCGCTGACAAAGGCCTCCAGTGATCTGACTGTCAAATGTCCTGTCTTTGTTGTGAAGGGAACCTGACTACAGTAAATATTTATGATTTGACCGAGATCATTTTTATCACATCTCCCATGTTCACTCAGCCCTAGGTATCAAGTCCCAAGACTTGGAGTGTTTTCTTTAGGCACCTTAATTGATATTAGTTTGCAGGGGATTTCCCAGCACAAGGCAAATAAAACGCCTAAGTGCTGATTTAATGACGGCATTTTTAATTAAAGCCGCTCTGCTAATCCTTTCAGGGTCACCTCAACAATTTCAGTTCTTGGAGTGATCTGCATAGTAAATGGGGACTGTTCTGTGAAATTTGCCATTAGGGAATCATAAAACCAAATGCCTCTTTATACTGAGGTAAACAAGATTGTATCCACCTTTGTGTTTCAGCTGCTACAGTGATGGGAATATTGAAAACATTAATATGCTAAACAAATAAGGTCATAAACTGGACATGTTCAGTTCCTCCAAGGCTTGTTTGGGGTTTTATTCAATGCACACTTAAATCTTTTACCTGGTTGCTTTATGTGTGGAGATTTTCTGTCACATAGTCAAAGTAAATTTAATTAAATTTGCTTTGAAACTTGATTCTCTCAGATTTTTTTCTATTTCTTAATTGCTATCTGATTTCATCACACCTCATCTGAAGGAAACAAAAACTGCAGTGACAAGTGGTGTGTTTGCAAGCTCGAAATTCTTACAAGTCATTTATTTGACAACTGAAGGAAGTGAAAAACCAGAATGAAATTTTAGCTAAAACTATTTTGTGAGAAGAAAATTGGTTGAAATGTTTCCTCCCTTTTTATTTTCAACTGTTAATTTCTACAATTATTATATGAGTACTTGGTAATCTTTTTTTTAGCATTTTGGCTCAGACTTTGACTTTAGTTTTACCTCATAATGTTTTTGGACATTGGAAGAAACCTGGACTGACTTGCTAATTCCAGCTTTTTGAAGAGCTCCTTGTTTATTAGCACTCTTAATAAAAATATGTAAAAAGCCTCAAACTAAATTATTATTCATTGCAGGTGAATAACTCACCATTAATTTGGTTAAAGAAATCACATTTTAGGAATAATAATGTGTTCATAAAATCCTTTTTGACACATTGACTAGCACTCCTAAGAGTTCCTATTAAAGATGTGTCACTGTAGTATTTTTAGGAGTATAAACATTCATTTTTTAATTGTTTTATTTTGTAATCCAAGACTTCCTGTTTTCCCAGTCTATAAACATGACCTCATATAAAGGTGTATTTGTCATGGTCACTCAAAAATGTGAAGAATAAGACATTGGCATTCAAGTAAGGCTAATTAGTGGTAAAAGCTGCCAACCTAAACTTGCCCATATTTATAAGAATTAAAAAACCTAAAACAACTGAGACTGTGACAAAACAGACCGGTAAAAGGAGCCATGGCCATAAATAAACTTAATCTGAAACTTTTTTCCTGTTTGTTTAGTGGTTGTAAAGCTGTCTTCGGAGATCCAGATCCTGATTTTAAGGCTGTCTTTCAGGTGGTTTTGGGGACGGAGAACAGCGTGGAGCTGACGCACCTGAACTCACTCACAGAGTACCAGGTGGCCGTTTTTGCCGTCTACCGAAGCTCCGCCAGCGAGGCCCTGAGAGGAAGTGCCACCACATGTAAGCATCTGTGGTTACAACCTATAAAAAACAACAATTTTAAGGCTTTTAACTGCACTGTGCTTACATCAGGTTGCTTAAGAAGAAAATAGCTTATTTTTCACCTCCTTAAAAAAAAACAGCTCTTAATTTTCAGACTTGCATATATATATATATATATATTATTCTTGAAGTGATTGGAGTTGTTTTTTAAATATCCTTATGAAAACAACTTGCCTGTTAAAACTTAATTGATGTATTCAGGGGAATTTGTATTTTTGGTTTAAAACCCAGCAGTTAAAAAAGCAACATTTGTTCCTTTTTATATAAAACAATGTCCTGCACTTAATTATTTTTTAATGTTATGTAGAATAAGATTATTAGACACCTGCAGAAATGGTCTATCAATGTTCTTATTGCACAAATTTGACACCCTTTTCTTATTCTATTTGCTATGAAGAAACAAGATTTACAAACCCATGTTAAATGCTAAATATTTGGGCTATCTGTTAGCATCACTGACCATGTTTTAGTGAAGAATGATTAAATACATGAACTGTTTTCAGCAAACTAACAAGCAGCTCACAGGAATGTATTACTATTCTCCGTGCTTCCTGAGAAAACTCTGATTTCTTCAGCACTTTCTCTGGCACCTCATAGAAATGACTTTAAAAAATAGAACTGATATTACAGAGAAATGTAATGTAATGGTTTTGAAACCTTTTGAAAGCTTTGTATTCATCCATACTGGTAACAAGCCCCTGCATTTGCTATGGGAACTGAAAGGAAATTGGGTAACAATATTATTAAACTTAGCTTTGCAGAAACTAAACATAAACTAATCATCACAATGAAATTTGTCATATGTCTTATGCAAAACCAATAAACATTAAAAGTGAGCCATAAATGCAATGTAGGAGTTCCATTATGCATAGGACTTATCCTACTAATCAATAGATAGTTTTGTTTAGGTCTAATTCTAAAACTGTTGCATGAGGCGTCATCCTGACACACCAGAGCAACCTGTACTGCGTAATAGCTGCTCAATTATTAAAATGAGAAATTCCTCCCTGCTGGTCAAAAAAGAAAATTAAGTAACAGGTTGAGCTGTCTCTACAGTTAACGGCGTTTGGATATTGCCATGAGGGGTCGATATTGTTTTTTAATGTGTCATTAAATCTGATTTGGCTTCTATTTAATCCTTATATTAAATCCCAAAGGGTTGAATAAAGTTTATATCTTTGATCAACATTTTGACTGTACATTTATAAAAGTGGGTTATTTTTTAAAGTGGTCAACTTATCAGTGTGATATGTGGCTTTGTCTTGCAGTGGCACTGCCCACAGTGAACAACCTCGAGTTGTTTGATATAACTCACAGCACCATGAGGGTCCGCTGGAAGATCGCCGCGGGGGCTTCGGAGTACATGATCCTGTACGCCCCGCTGACTGAGCAAGAAGCTGCAGATGAGAAGGAGGTAAACAGCAGGTCCACTAAATGTGAAAACGAGAAAATTTATAAAGCACAAGTAATGGAAGTAACACATTTCCTAGAGCAGTTGCTACACTTTTTATAGTCTCATTTACCCGTTGTCTTCTGCTTAAAAACTGCTGCATTTTTCAGGTCCGTTAAAGAAAAATGTCTAAAATGTCTTTTTTAGGATTGAGTAATGTTCACCTGTTGCACAGTTTGTGAAAACCTGGATGAGACTTTATTGTCAAAGTGAAGAAATGATTTTAATGTGGTCTATATATGTTAGGCAGATCATGCAGCTGCTGGTTGAGCAATCAACCCTCCACCAATCAGCTAACTCAATAGTGATCACATGTCTTCATACAGAGAGATGAAAATAAAAGAAAGATAAACTGTATTTTAAGAAAAAAATAAAACTTGATGGAAGAGTGAACAAAAGGAAAAGGGACAATTTATACAAAACAAACATAGAAAATACAATTACATTACCTCCAACAATAAAAAGCAATATTCTATATTTTGTCTTTATTTTCTGTAAAAAAAAAAAAAAAAAAAAAAAAAAAAAAATTTTACCCCAAAAATTGGGGGTCCACTTTTCAAAAAGGGCAACAAAAAAAAA